ACGGCTCTCAAAGTAGCCGTAGTCTTCCTCAATCGCGCTGAGATTCTCCATCAGCAACTTCACTTCATCTCCTTTCTGGGTACGCAGAGAATCCAGCTCAAGTTCTAAACCCCTCATTCGAGCTGATGTTTCACTCTTATGGGTCTCATGCATCTCGGTGTGACTCGCAAGTTCCTTTTCTCTCTCACCCAATTTCTCCCTCAGCTGGCTACATTCGGTGACAAGTTCTTGTAAAAGCTTTGAATTCTCACCATTCAACGTTTCAGCTTCCATCTTTAAATCACTGATCATCTTCTCTACTTCCTTCTCTTCAGTAGTTTCTGTCAACTCCCTTTTCAAGTCAGCCACTTGAAGTTCTTGCTTAATGTTATCTGTCACCATCTGAAACTCATTTTGCAATTCTCCATTTTTACTGCCCTTTTCCTTTGAAGAATAAGCTGAATCCGAGTCCAAGCCGAAGGAAGAAGCAGAAGAAAAATAATCTGTATACCCATCTTTTTCATCCTCAACTAATGTCTTCTCCACCGACTTCCCGCCGCAGCTGCCAAAAATTGATCGAAGGATCCGGGAAAATTTTGAGGGTTTTTTAATAACAACTTGCTGATCCATTGGGAAAAAAGACAGAAGACAGAGATGTAACTCTTGGGAAAAAAGACAGAATTGGGGTAGAGATGCAGAGATGTAGGGAGTGCCTTTTATGGGATTTTATTAGTGGACTTGGTGGACATTTTCATATGAGGACTATTTATTTTTATGGATTTTGGCATTATGACAATTAAGGATTTAATTTGAGTATTTTATTTTGTGGGTTATGTGATTGGATTCTTAGCCTTGCATGCTCACTTATATGAGTGTGCGGCGTTGTCACAGAGCTTGGGGCGTGACAGAATTGCTCCTGCTTTTTATATGGATCTTTTTCCCAGATTTTTTTAATGTTCATTTTTATTTTCCATTTTTTTTGGGCAGAATTTCTTGTAGCTTAATGTTTATTTTTTCTTTCTGATTTTCAGGAGTTGATCGTCATATTAAAACCATGACTAGAATTGCAAAGATCTTCTTTTCTAAAAGGTAGAGCTTTCTTTCTTGTCAATTCTTTCTTTTAATTTTTATTTGCTTTTAATGTTTTGGTTCTTAGGCTTTGAATTTATGTATCAATTCTTTCTTTTAATTTTTATTTGCTTTTAATGTTTTGGTTCTTAGGCTTTGAATTTATGTATCAATTCTTTCTTTTAATTTTTATTTGCTTTTAATGTTTTGGTTCTTAGGCTTTGAATTTATGTATCAATTCTTTCTTTTAATTTTTATTTGCTTTTAATGTTTTGGTTCTTAGGCTTTGAATTTATGTATCAATTCTTTCTTTTAATTTTTATTTGCTTTTAATGTTTTGGTTCTTAGGCTTTGAATTTATGTATCAATTCTTTCTTTTAATTTTTATTTGCTTTTAATGTTTTGGTTCTTAGGCTTTGAATTTATGTATCAATTCTTTCTTTTAATTTTTATTTGCTTTTAATGTTTTGGTTCTTAGGCTTTGAATTTATGTATCAATTCTTTCTTTTAATTTTTATTTGCTTTTAATGTTTTGGTTCTTAGGCTTTGAATTTATGTATCAATTCTTTCTTTTAATTTTTATTTGCTTTTAATGTTTTGGTTCTTAGGCTTTGAATTTATGTATCAATTCTTTCTTTTAATTTTTATTTGCTTTTAATGTTTTGGTTCTTAGGCTTTGAATTTATGTATCAATTCTTTCTTTTAATTTTTATTTGCTTTTAATGTTTTGGTTCTTAGGCTTTGAATTTATGTATCAATTCTTTCTTTTAATTTTTATTTGCTTTTAATGTTTTGGTTCTTAGGCTTTGAATTTATGTATCAATTCTTTCTTTTAATTTTTATTTGCTTTTAATGTTTTGGTTCTTAGGCTTTGAATTTATGTATCAATTCTTTCTTTTAATTTTTATTTGCTTTTAATGTTTTGGTTCTTAGGCTTTGAATTTATGTATCAATTCTTTCTTTTAATTTTTATTTGCTTTAAAACCTTTTCAATCACCCCCGCCATCTCCTCCTTGAGGTGTATCAATAGTGAAATTGGTTTTGCATTTTTAGCCTTTGTTCGAATCATAGATTGGACATATTTGCATTCAGCCTAAAGCTGTGATGAATAATGAACCATCATGTCTTGCAAACAGCATCCTTTTTCTTCTAATTCTGCTACAGTTGTTCTAAAGAAACATGTAGATTTTTAAACTACCTTTTTAATAAAATTTTAGTTGTTTTAGTCCATTATTTATTGAATTATATATATATTTTTTTTAGGTTTAGTCAGACTCAAGACAACATGTAGACTATTTTAACTAAAATTTTAAATTAAATTTTAAGCTATTTTTTTATTTCAATTCTTAGTTAATCCATATTTTGCCTATTTAAAGATGTGTGGTTCTATCAATTCTTAGAACTTCTATGTATATCTGCTAGCTGAGTAGTTTTAATCGGAGTTGGTTGTCATTTTGTTCCAGTCAAATCCATCAATTTCACTATGGATATTATTGATTAAAGTAGAATTGGCAATATTGCTATGACCTTTTATTGATGACCACATTGTGTCTGCTAAAAACCCTTTATCATTAGTAATTACTTAATTCTTTGGTTTTTGATTCTTTGGCTTTTGATCTCACTATACATGCTGCTCCATTGCTAAGTGAATCAACAAATATTGTTTGTATGTGTTGTAATATTTTGGAAGCTTCACACGTGCTGAAGTTGGTAAGGGTCTGTCACTATCTTATGCCCTTTTGATTGGGTAATTCAAAGACCGATTCGCATCATTATGTTCAATAAAAGGAATGAGGGAAGCTCCCATAGAAAAATACTGGAAGGGAAATGGCAACAAACTCCTATGTTCCTGTCATTACGGTTTATTTGGTCGATAACTCTGAAAAGATAGATTGCCTATCTTTTCTTTCATTTCGGGAGAAATACAAATTTAGGAGAGCTTGATAATTGCATACCATCAAATTTTTGAAAAATACCAAATGGGAGCATCCATTCAACAAAGACAAGGCATCTCTCTTTTCTATCAACAAAGACAAACACCACTCCATCTTCTCTCTCACAAAGCAAAATGGACTTGCATAGATTAGCTAAATTGCGTCTCCTCTTCGCTTCTTCACTCCTATGTAGTTCTATTAGGATTGTATCTCATTCCTCTAATTATTTCATGTGTTGATTTTATTCTTTATTTATTTATTTATTTATTTATTTTTTATATTTTAACTTTGACATTATAGAAACCCACCTAACATTTTAATTTGCTTACTGTTCATTTTAATACATAGTGGTTATGTCAATGAGCTCTTCTGAAGCAGTTATGCACAAATGCACAATCTGACAACACTTTTTAAATTAATATAGTTTACAATTAGATGTTATTTATATAAGGATCAAAGTAACAGTCAATGTTAATACTCCAATTTTAATTCATATGTTTAATGCTATTTTTTTTCACAATGATGCAACTATTTTCTATTTTAAGAATGTTGAAGAAGAAAAATCATACTTAAAGCAAGTTCAGCAGAAAAATCATCAAATCTCACTCCTACTTGACCACCTAGATTATTTGGAATTTTTGTTCGACTCTATAAAAACTACATTGCTGATTTTTTATTTCTATTTCATTGCTGACAAAATGATGGTAAACAAAGAACTTGAAATGTGTTTTACATAAAGTCATGTCATTTGAAATGTGTTTTGCGTATGTATTCATAGTGTAGATTTTAGCATAAGCATCCGTGTATTATGCATGTGTTAGTCATAGATAGATCACTTATGCTTGTACATTTCTTTGTATTGTTTGGTTTCCAGAACAACATAAATTGAGGAATGATACATGGATGGAGCAAACAAAACTGGTTTTCTTCTATCAAGGAAAGCTTTTAGCTAAAAGTGCAACCAAAATAAAGCACAGGTTTACAAAATTTCCACCATGATTATTCTTCTTCTTCTAAAATTTCCCACTTCCTCAAGCTTATAGATTGAATCCAGTTCACCTAATTATTGATTTAGAACATATGATATTGAGAATAGACTTTCACCCATTCCATTTACATAAACATATATTTAAGCATGCGTGTATTATGCATGTGTTAGTCATAGATAGATCACTTATGCTTATACATTTCTTTCTATTGTTTGGTTTGCAGAACAACATAAATTGAGGAATGATCATGGATGGAGCAAACATAACTGGTTTTCTTCTATCAAGGAAAGCTTTTAGCTAAAAGTGCAACCAAAATAAAGCACAGGTTTACAAAATTTCCAACATGATTATTCTTCTTCTTCTAAAATTTCCCACTTCCTCAAGCTTATAGATTGAATCCAGTTCACCTAGCTAATTATTGATTTAGAACATATGATATTGAGAATAGACTTTAACCCATTCCATTTACATAAACATATATTTTCTTAACACAGAATGACCCTTAATAGAAAAGGGGAGGGGTGGGGTGGGGCGCGGTGAGTATAACTTGACTTTTTTATTTTTCCCTGTAATTTTAAATTTTCAAACATACAATAAATTATCTAACTTCAACATAATGTCGTCTTTGTTTGTTTGTTTGTTTGTTTGTTTTGTTTTGTTGTCTTTCATATATGAATGTTTGTAGGGTTTGAGCACTGTCTAGAACTTCGAATTTTGCTAAATGTTTTGATTGTGTTCTATTAAATTTCCTACTATCATGCCTCTCACTAAAGAACACTATTAATGTTTACCATTGCACGCTATTTGTCATACTCCTTGTCAACATCATTGTAATTTCCAAATATTTCTTGATTTTGAGTTCCTTAGTTTGGAGAAGAAACCTCTAGAATTTGTTGTTCGTTTCTTCATGGAAATGCCTTGTTTAGATTTATCTAAATAGTGAGGCATTGCTTGCATTTGGCCAAGCCTCCTCTTGAAATGTAAGTCATTAGTATTATTTCTTTGAAATTTAAAAAAAAAAAAAAAATCCTTTCTATACAATTATTATTAGCTTTCTAGAACAATGCTTTAATGGAACTAACATGAGATGTGTATGTGTTAGCATCTTTCTATGGCAAGTATGCATGTGTATTTTTATTTTTTTACAAGTAAGGAACAATTTTAAAAGAACCATATGTACTTATTAATTAGTCTTTATTGCAGACACTTTTGAGAATGAAGAATCCAATCACACATTTATGGAGGAAAAAAATTGATAATATGCAAACCTGATGGCTGGTGTGACCGCATTCTTAGAAGGTTTTATCTGGGGAAGTCCATTACAATCAGAAAAAATCAAATTTCATAACCCCCTTCAAGTTTTGCAAAATATGCACCATGGATTTTTATTTTATTTTTGCTTATATACTTTCATTCTATTTGTTTTGTAGGGACCCTACAGTTCCCGTAGTGAGCTGGTCCAATATTTGCAAATATGATATGTTTCCATTTATAGCGCTCTCAACTGTAGCTGAACGTGGGAAGCAGCAAGTTACAAGTAGCATGCAACGGGGTAACATCAGTAATTAGTTATCAAAGCTTAAGGATCTTTTTGGATGGATGTAAATTTCAAATCAAGTAATTTGAGATTGCTTGAACCATGGGCATGATCTATCGTGCGAAGCACCGCGCCTCACAACTAATATGTATATAAGCGGTGGTTTGCTGCTTGTGGCTTGTTCTTTTTTTTTTTTTTTTTCTTCCTATTTTGCTTGTAGTTCTATTAGGATTGTATCTCATTCCTCTAATTATTTCATGTGTTGATTTTATTCTTTATTTATTTATTTATTTATTTATTTTTTATATTTTAACTTTGACATTATAGAAACCCACCTAACATTTTAATTTGCTTACTGTTCATTTTAATACATAGTGGTTATGTCAATGAGCTCTTCTGAAGCAGTTATGCACAAATGCACAATCTGACAACACTTTTTAAATTAATATAGTTTACAATTAGATGTTATTTATATAAGGATCAAAGTAACAGTCAATGTTAATACTCCAATTTTAATTCATATGTTTAATGCTATTTTTTTTCACAATGATGCAACTATTTTCTATTTTAAGAATGTTGAAGAAGAAAAATCATACCTAAAGCAAGTTCAGCAGAAAAATCATCAAATCTCACTCCTACTTGACCACCTAGATTATTTGGAATTTTTGTTTGACTCTATCAAAGCTACATTGCTTTTTTTTTTTTTTTTTTTTTTTTTTTTTTTTTTTTTTTTTTTTTTTTTTTTTTTTTGTTTTGATATTTTAAACCTTTTGCCTTTTTCTCTAATGTTTCATCTTTGCATGTTCATTGGTGCTGCATTTTTAAAGCTTTTAAATTTTAACTTTAGTTCTTACTTGAGGCTAATTAATCTCAATAATTGGACAATCTTACCTAGTTATATATAAAGTGAACAGGTCACTTGTCCAAGCCCTTTTTTTATGTCAAGTATTCCTTAGTTCTTAGAAAAATAAAAAAAAAATTAAATATTGTGGTAGAAGGAACTAGAACTTAAGATCATTGATTTGGTAAACAACACTTTTATCACTTGAGCAATAGACACTACATGTTTTCAATTCAAAATCGAAATTTATATTTTACACATAGCACACTCATTGAGTAAACACATTCTTAGGCCAAGTTTGGCATGAGGTAAAAAAGACAAAAAGTTAAAAAGTCACTATTCTATTTAAGTCACATCATCTTATTTAAGTCACATCACCTCTCTAACCCATCACTTCAAACCCAACCCAAACCCAACTCATATTTCATAAAAAGTCAAAAAATATACTTATTTAACCTTTCCAAACTAAGCCTTAATATATTAATTTTATTAATAATATATTTTTTAATGGCCTAATTAATATATTAATCTTATTAATAATATATTTTTTAATGTTCTGAATCATTGAAAAACAAGCTCAAGTTTTAGAGCTCTTACTCATTTTTTAAAATGAAAACCCCCTGATTGCTGTGTTTCCCATTTGATTTCTTTGAAACTGTTTGAGGGTCTCCATTTCTTTTCATTACGTTTCCAAAAGTTGTGAGTGAATTGATTCAACTCTTTTCTCGTCTGGTTTTGATTTCAATTCCAATTCTCAAAACAGATAAGAGTATGGCTGATCTACTCATTTCTCCCCTTGTTACTTCAATTTTGAAAACCTTGAACTCTTTAGTGCTAAAAGAGTTTGGGATATCATGGGGTTTGAAAACAGAGCTAGAGAACCTAGAGAGCACACTAAGTACCATTCAAGCAGTCCTTCAAGATGCAGAGACCAAGCGAGGGAAGAGCGAGGCTCTGAAGAATTGGCATAGAAAGCTCAATGATGCAGCTTATGATGCAGACAATCTGGTGGATGAGTTCATGATTGAAGCTCAGAGAAGAAGGATGGATTCTGAGAGAGGCATTAAACCCCAAGTAAGTGCCTTTTTCTCTCTTCGAAACCGGCTTATATTTCGATTGAAAATGGGGCATAAGATCGAGGATATGAGGGATAGGTTAGATGCCATTGCTGGGGAGAAAAATAAGTTTCACTTGAGGGAAGGTGTGGTGGAAACCGGAGAAGTTTGTGGGATGGAGAGAGGACAAACTGATTCAATGGTGAATGAATCGGAAATTTATGGGAGAACTGATGAGAAAGAAATGATAATTGAAATGTTGCTCAACAATTCAAGTGATCTTGATGATGATGTTTCGGTCTATGCTATGTGTGGTATGGGGGGGCTTGGAAAAACCACACTTGCTCAATTGGTCTACAATGATAGAAGGGTGGATAGCCACTTCGATCTGAGAATTTGGGTGTGTGTCTCTGTTGATTTCGATGTAGAGAGACTAACCAGAGAAATCCTAGAGTCCATTGAAGGTGGTGGGTGTAGTATCTCAAACTTGGATACACTTCTACGTCGCCTCCAAGAAAAACTGTTTGGGAAGAGATTTTTACTTGTCTTGGACGATGTATGGAATGAGTACCATGAGAAGTGGGATAGGCTACAAAATGCACTGAAGTGTGGAGCTAAAGGCTGTACTGTTAGGTCATGTTTGTTTGGGTGGACATGAGCTTGGGATTGGACTAATAGTCTAATAAAATTATTAATCCGATATTTGGTTAAACAATTGAATAATTATTTTACACTTGACTATTAGTTAAGATAGGATACATAATCCAACGGATTCGTAGTCCTAAGACTATTAGTCATGGGAATGCTAATCCAGTCCACCCAAACAAACATGGCCTTATAGTAACAACAAGGATTCAGAAAGTTGCTCTTATCATGGCTACACTTCCTATACACCACATGGCTCGTTTGTCAGAGGATGATTCTTGGTCCTTGTTTAAACGACGCGCATTCGGCAACGAAAGGAGAGAGGAAAACCTTCAATTGGGTGAGAAGTGGGATAGGCTACAAAATGCACTAAGTGTGGAGCTAAAGGCTGTACTGTTATAGTAACAACAAGGATTCAGAAAGTTGCTCTTATCATGGCTACACTTCCTATACACCACATGGCTCGTTTGTCAGAGGATGATTCTTGGTCCTTGTTTAAACGACGCGCATTCGGCAACGAAAGGAGAGAGGAAAACCTTCAATTGGGTCTCATTGGGAAGGAAATAGTGAAAAAATGCAAAGGGTTACCCTTAGCAATAAAGGCTTTGGGAAGCCTCATGCAATTTAAAAGAAGTGAAAGTGAATGGTTGTCTGTGAAGGACAGTGAGATTTGGGATTTGCCAGATGATGGAAGTAATATTTTACCTGCTTTGAGGTTGAGCTATGAAGCCTTACCTCCACATTTGAGGCAATGTTTTACTTATTGTTGTATATTCCCCAAAGACTATAGAATGGAGAACAGCATGCTGATAGAGTTGTGGATGGCAAATGATTTTATTCCATCTAAAGGACAAATGAGGTTACATGATATGGGCCATGACATTTTCAGGGACTTGGTTTCGAGGTCATTCTTCCAAGATGTAAAAGAGTCCAATAGTGGAACAATATTTTGTAAAATGCACGATCTTATGCATGATCTTGCACAATCTATTATGAGATATGAATGCTCTATTATGAAGCCTCACGAGGGCATGAAAATTCGAGATAAAATTCGTCACTTGTCTTTTAATATTGTTGGTTTTGGAGAGATGGTTCCTTGGAATGAGATTGTATTTGAAGTCCCATCTTTGCGGTCTGTCTTAATATTCGAGTCTTTCATTCCAAATTCCAAGGACAATATTGCTTCACCTTGCATTTCAAAACAAAAGTATCTTAGAGTGTTGGATTTTGGTAGAAATGTTGATGAGAAGTTGTCAATGTCAATTTCCAATTTTAGCCATCTTAGGTACCTGGACATGTCATGCTCTAATATAGAAATTCTGCCAGAATCAATAAGTAATCTCCAAAGCCTGCAGACATTGAAGCTAGAACATTGCCGACGACTTCGTAAGTTGCCCAAACGCATGAAGCACATGAGAAATCTCACTTACTTGGACATCACAGGGTGTGATTCTCTTACTTCTATGCCTGACCAAATGGGACAATTAACTTGCCTACAAAGACTAAGCATGTTCCTTGTGGGCCAAGATGAGGGTTACCAAGTTGGTGAGCTGAAAGAATTAAATCTCGGGGGTACATTGAGCATAAAGAGACTTGAGAACGTAAGAAATTCAGAAGAGGCCAAGAAGGCCAATTTGAAGGGGAAACATGATCTTATTTCTTTGGAATTATATTGGAGCAAGAGCAATGAAGAAAACATACCAAAGAATATCAAAGAGGTTCTTGAGAGTCTCGAACCTAATTCAAATTTGAAGAAGCTGAGGATAAATTTCTTCCAAGGTTCAAAGTTTCCAAATTGGATGTTGGGTTTGGTTCTTAAAAATTTGGTTGAGATCTCTTTAAGAGATTGTGAAAGATGTGAACATCTTCCTCCTCTTGGCAAACTACAATCCCTAAAAATTCTCGAGATCAGACGTATGTGTTCTCTTAAGTACTTCAACCATGGGGATTATGGAGATGGGGAAAGTTCATTTCCTGCATTGAAGACTCTCAAGTTCTATGAAATGCCAAGCTTGGAGGAATGGGCATTAGTGGATAGAGGAGAAATTTTCCCTTGCCTACGGGAGTTGGTGATATCTGGATGCCCCAAATTGACTAAATTGCCTTTTCTTCTAGCACTTAAGAGATTAACAATTGAGGGAGGCTATGAAATGTTATTTAGGTCAGTGATTAATCTTACTTCGATTTCCTATTTTTCGATAGGTAGCTCTAACTCTAAGTTCGAATTTGAAGAAGCTGAGCATAAATTACTTCCAAGGTTCAAAGTTTCCAGCTCTAACTCTATGTTGAAGATTCTTCCAGATGGACGGCTTCCAAACCTCAAGGCCTTGAAGTCCCTAGTGTTACATTCCATGTACAATCTGAAGACCATACACTTTTATCTTTGGCCTGAACTTATGTCAGGACTCAAAAACCTAAACTCTCTGCAAATAAATAAATGTAATAGTCTTACGTCCCTTCCAATGCAAGTGTTGCAAGGCTTGACTTCCCTTACATCCTTACAAATTATCAGCTGTAATAAACTAAAATCTTTGTCAGATGGAATGCAATATCTGACAGCACTTCAGCTCTTGGTTATGATTGGATGTCCAGAGATAAAATCTTTTCCTGAGGGTATGCAACATTTGAATGCTCTCCGAGATTTGTATATATCCGATTGCAGCGGATTAATTTCTCTACCAAATTGGCTAGGAAGCCTCCGGTCATTATCAATGTTATTGATTTCGGGTTGCCCTAATCTGAGGTGTTTGCCGGATGGGCTGCAGGATCAGGATACTCTGAAATTGCTGTCAATCATAGAATGTCCACATTTGGAGTGCCGGTGCGAGAAACAGGCTGGGGAGGATTGGCTGAAGATAGCTCATATTCCCGAGATTTGGATCAATGGTGAACAAGTACAATCCTTGGATTGTTAATGCGCTAGTTTGAAGCCGAGATTCACATCCAACAGTGTTTGCAGAAAGCTAATTTGAGGAAGTGTGACAACGTAGTCCCAAGTTGGTGCATAATTGAAGACTGGAGTTTTTGATGGAGCGTGCTTGAAGAATTTTGTGGCTGGCCTCAATAGGTTTGCACACTTGTTGAATAATACGTCATAGTTTTCAAGGTTCGTTTTCTTTTTCTTGAATAATAATACATCATAGTCAGAATTGAATTTAATTAACTTGTGAAATTAGAAAATCACTAAATTTTGATGTCTTTGATTTATCTGTCGTATAGGTTGAAGAAATTGGAAATTGTATTTCATAGCAGAGCGGCATGGGTACGGAATGCTCTCATTTCTCTAATTGCTCTGAAAAGCTTTTGTGGAATTAGATTAGATCATAGATGGCTATGAAGAATTGTAATAATTGGTTGCTGTAATAATTGGTTGCTGCAAAACATTGCTTTCTTTCCTTTGATTTTATATTTCTAAGCACAGGATGGTGTTTTTAGATGATAGGTATTATGGATTGATTTGTTCCAGGTTGCTTCCTAGTTTCACCGTTCTTCTTTGAGGGATGTGATTTCCATTTATTTGTTCATTTTTATATATTTAGAGCCATTTACATGGATATTATTTATTTTGATTTAATTTTTATCAGAATTTCTTAGGGTCCACCATTGTATGTTTAATCTTAAGTTTGTTTTATTATTATTTACCACCTCATTAGAGATGCAGTTAGAGGCGATGAAACAAGGGTGGGACATTTCTCTTAATACCACCAAACAAGGCCAACCTAGCTTTGAGATGTAAAGAAAGTGGAGGAAGGGATAGCTTGCTTACTTGGTGTCCAAAGTGTTTGTTTGGTGTGCCAACAAGTGGAAGTTGGAACTACCAAACGTGGCCTTACTTACTCAAAAGTATTTTCTAAATTCATTTATGTTATGTTTGGTTTAAAGATTTGGGGAGAGATTTGGAAAGAGAAAAAGAAAAGATAGATGAAATTTGAATAAAATATACTTATATTTCATCAAATTTCACACATTTTTCCTTTCTCTTTTTTAATTTCTCCTTAAATTTATGAAGCAAACCCAGTCTTAAATTATTCATTGGAGGTTTTTATCTAATTCCAAGTTGTAATATTTTTAAGATGATCCCTCTGCCTCTACCAGACTTAGAATATCCTTTTTCCCCTCTGCTCGACCGTCCCTCTACCAGCAATAGATGACAAAATATATTTGAGAAGATTCTTGGGGCATATTAATTAATATGATGCCTTGTTTGGTTAATTGCATTCCTTGTTTAAAAACATTTATGGGGAATAGAAATTTCACTTATCGTATTTGGTTGATCCCCCCCCCAGCATTTGACTTGGACGACAATTCATTATGAGCGGCAGTAGCTTCTCAGAAGTTGAATGGTTTTTTTTTTCTATCTCAACATGAATTTTTTTCAAGTGGAAAGCAACTTCACTCTGGGTTTTCTTTTGGTACACATTTCTGGTTATTGTTCTTAATTTTTTTTATTTATTACTGCTATGGACTAATATTCGTTGTTTTGTCTGCATGTAAGTAATTAAATTGATAAATGTGATTCACCCCCAAAAAAATTGATAGATGTGCTTTTGGACTTCACTTGTTCCTAGCCTTTTGGATCAACGAAAGGCTTAATACTGATATAAGTGTATGTCTGGTAACCTTATGGATAAAGGGTCACTGCTGTGCTTAAAGCACAACAGTGACTGTGGTGCCTCTATTTGAAGTGTATTATGGTTTTATTTTTATGATCCAAACCGTCATTTTGTAGGATTTATTGAGTACTTCATGCTTACCAAATATTATATTAATCGGATATTAATAACTATATGATCGAATTGCATATTGTTCATGCTATTTCTGGTAGGCATGAAGTACTCAACAAATCCTACAAAATCAACGGTTTGGATAATAAAAATAAGGCCATAATACACCTCAAATGGAGGCGCCACAGTTACTGCTGTGCTTCCCCTTTTCCAATCTGGATGTTTATATTTACAAAAAGTTAGAAAAACATGTTTGGTCTATTTTTGTTTTCAAAAACTTGTAAACAATTTACAAAATTTCTTGTAACCACCCCCAAATAAAAAAAACAAAAAAAAAATTGTTTCACTTGTTTAGAAAAAAAACTTTTATTCCTTTTTCCTCTAGCCATCATTCATCACTCCTCACCACCAGTGGCCATTATCTTTGGCCACCATTGTTGGTGACCTTCTCAAACAACAATTACCTTCAACCACCATCTTTAATAATTGACAATCACCTATTTTACTTATTTTCAAAATAAGTTTTTAAAACACGTGTGTATCAAATATGATTTTTGCTTTTATTTTTACAAAAAATAAACATAAACATTTTTCATGTATTATATAAACAAGCAAGACGTTACCAAATGCACCTAAATGATTTAGGAGAAATAATAATTTCATTTGTAAGGGAGACAACCCAAATAAGCTATCCTATGTCATGGCTTATGTTAACAGCAATGATAGAGATTCTCTTTGTGGAAGACCCCTACAATTCCCTTTGTGATCTACACCATTCATGACGTGGACCCCACACACACATGAGTGGACCTCACACATCATGAATGGTGTAGATCAGTAAAGGGGTTATGAGGGTCCTCCACAAAAGGAGTCTGACTCATTTTTCTTAGGTTAAAGACGGGTGCTAAGACTTTTTTTTGAACAAATACATAAATAAGTGAAAACCCCCTTTCTTGACTGATAAATTTCTTACAAAATGACCGATTTTTTTTTTTTTTTTGCATTTGTACTTACTTTTTTTTACAGACTGACACACTGATGAAGTATGTTTCTTTTTTTCTTCCTATCTATGTCAGGAATTTTTGTGCGGTGGAAGACTGATATTTGGTCCTGAAGATGTCAGTGGGTGGGTCAGTGTATTGGATCATAACTCGTTTGATGAAATGCCTCAATAAAATAAATGTTTTTCTCTCTGTTGTTTATTTTCTCAAGCTATACGGGGCAGGGTGGGAAAAAACCATCACAAGCTATAGAATGACCATTTAGAGCATCTCCAACGGTGTACCAAATGTTTCATTAAATCTGAGTCGAAAAGGGATCATTTCTTTAATTTGATACTTCGCGCTCCAACGGTTCAACATCAAATCCGTTTCATCAAATTTGCGCTGGGCAACCGGTTGGTTGACCGGCCGGTCGACCGGCTGGTCAACCGGTAACGGCAAAATTTTTTTTATTTTTTATTTTTTATTACCGGTTTGAACCTTTTTTTTTTTGAACTTTTGGTGGTCAACCACCTAGGCAAATTTTTTTTTTTTTTTTTTTTGGGCTACTCAACAAACCCTACAAAATCAACGGTTTGGATAATAAAAATAAGGCCATAATACACCTCAAATGGAGGCGCCACAGTTACTGCTGTGCTTCCCCTTTTCCAATCTGGATGTTTATATTTACATAAAGTTAGAAAAACATGTTTGGTCTATTTTTGTTTTCAAAAACTTGTATACAATTTACAAAATTTCTTGTAACCACCCCAAATAAAAAAAAAAAAAAATTGTTTCACTTGTTTAGAAAAAAAACTTTTATTCCTTTTTCCTCTGGCCATCATTCATCACTCCTCACCACCAGTGGCCATTATCTTTGGCCACCATTGTTGGTGACCTTCTCAAACAATCACCTTCGATCACCATCTTCAATAATTGACAATCACCTATTTTACTTATTTTCAAAATAAATTTTTAAAACACGTGTATCAAATATGATTTTTGCTTTTATTTTTACAAAAAATAAACATAAACATTTTTCATGTATTATATAAACAAACAAGACGTTACCAAATGCACCTAAATGATTTAGGAGAAATAATAATTTCATTTGTAAGGGAGACAACCCAAATAAGCTATGCTATGTCATGGTTTATGTTAACAGCAATGATAGAGATTCCCTTTGTGGAAGACCCTCACAACCCCTTTTGTGATCTACACCATTCATGATGTGGACCCCACACACATGAGTGGACCCCACACATCATAAATAGTATAGATCACAAAGGAGGTTGTGGGAGTCCTCTACAAAAGGGGTCTGACTCATTTTTCTTATGTTAAAGAGGGGTGCTAAGACTTTTTTTTGAACAAATACATAAATAAGTAAAACCCCCTTTCTTGACTGATAAATTTCTTACAAAATGAACGAATTTTTTTTTTTTGCATTTGTACTTACTTTTTTTTACAGACTGACACACTGATGAAGTATGTTTCTTTTTTTCTTCCTATCTATGTCAGGAATTTTTGTGCGGTGGAAGATTGATATTTGGTCCTGAAGATGTCAGTGGGTGGGTCAGTGTATTGGACCATAACTTGTTTGATGAAATGCCTCAATAAAATAAATGTTTTTCTCTCTGTTGTTTATTTTCTCAAGCTATACGGGGCAGGGTGGGAAAAACACCATCACAAGCTATAGAATGACCATTTAGCCTCCGTTTGGGAAGTGGGTTGGTTTTTTGGTTTTTTGGCTTTTTGACTATTTTAGCCTGGACTATTTTAGCCTGGTTTGGGAAGGGCTTTTTGACTTTTTGGCTTTTTTGACTTTTTTTGTGAGAGAAGATTGTAATGATTATGGGTTGGATTTGATGTTTTGTTTTTTGTGATTAAAATAGCCTATTTTGTTTTTTGTGGCTATTTTAGCCCAAACCAAGTTCCCAAACAAAGGCTTAGGCTTGTCTTTGTACATTAAAATCCACTGGACCCCAAAAATTGGCCCAATCCGATATATTCTTTCGTTGATAACTCAAAATTCAAACAGCCTTATAACATGTTTGTTTGGTGGGATTAGACTAATAATTCATTTAGGTTAATAATCTGTTATTTGTTTTAATTTTTTTATCCGAATTATTAATCTCAAATCTGTTAGACTATTGTATCTCATGGGGGGTGGGACACAAATCGTGGGATAACTCATTCCATGGGATTATGTTGCCAAATTACATTGTTGACCCTCTAGTATTAAATATATTTTTTCTCATGGTATTAATTATATTTAATAAAGCAGTTTCAATTTAAAAATAAAATAATTTTATTTAATTTTTATTGGTGTTTTATTTATTTATTTTTTTTAAAAATAATTTTTTATTGATGTTTTATTTTAAAATTTTGCTTATATTTTGTTTAATTGGATTATTTAAATTTTAATAAATGTTTTATTTAATTTCATTATTTAATTATTATTATTTTTAAAAATAAATTTATTTAAAATTTTAATTTAAAAATAAATATATTTTTATTGATATTTTATTTTATTTATTTACAAAAAAAAAGGTATAAAAAAGAAAAAAGAAAAAAAGAATAAAAGAGGGAGTGACGGTAATATAGGAAGAGGGGAGAAAAAGTGAAGAGAGTCAAACAAAAAAAATGGGAGAGAGGAAGAGGTGAGAACAGAGAGCGAGGAGATGGGAGACGAGAGGAAGAGGACTCGATCAGAGACGACGATCAGAGAGCGAGAGGCGAGAACAGAGAGAGAGGAGATGAAGACGATGAGAGACGAACACAGAGAGAGAGGAGACGAACAGAGACGCGAAAGAAATACCTCGATCAGAGACGAAGAGGCCTCGATCTAGGCTACAACAGGTTCTTCCTCGTTCTCTTTAGAAACTCAACAGGCTTG